GGTGCTGAACATGTCGTCTGGGCTCGGCAGTCTGACTGTTGCGACGGATATAACCAAATGCTGTACTTATAGTATGAGTAAAGCGGCGTTGAACATGTTGACGGTGCACCAGGCGAAGGATTTGAAGAAGCTGGGGGTCAAGGTGATTTGTATGGATCCTGGGTGGGTGAAGACGAGGATGGGGGGTGAGGGCGCGATGATTGAGGCGAGTGTTAGTGTGGGGAGTATGTTGGAGGTTGTGGGGGGGTTGAAGGAGGCGGATAGTGGGAGGTTTTTTAGGTATGATGGTGTGCCTGTTGCGTGGTAGATTGGGAGAATAAATATGTGTTGGAAGTGGTAGAGGGGATATAGCTGAGGCGGATATGTAGATAGCACGTTGGACGTAGTAGTCTGGGATAATTGTGGATGGTATCTAAAGCGACAGTGGACTAAATACTTCATGCCTCGACCTCCGTCTGTAAAGCGTCGTTCATCTCTACTCCGCCACAGGGCATAAGTCATAGTTACCAGCGACGTTGTTACCCCACCATTGCGGGAACGGAATAGCCGGCCCACCAGCTCCAAAGACAGCAAAAGACAAGATAAACAAGCAAGTCAGACTCGCGCCATCAAACGCACCTGCAATCAGGTACGAGTAGTCCTTGAAGATGCGGGGACGGTAGTTCCTCAGGTAGAACTGCGTGAAGAAACCCACAATCGTCCAGCTGAGAAGCACGCACGTCTGACTCTGGTTGTAAGGGATGTAACCAGCGTACTGAATGAACTGGGGGAAGTTGATCTCGCGAAGAGAGAAGTTACCGATCTTGGGTACGAAGCGAACGAAGATGCGGTGAGCGAGGACGATAGCGGCGCCAATGAGGAGGCCAAAGGGGACGATGGAGTAGGCTTTTCCTTGCTTGTACAGGTAGGCGGCGAGGGCCCAGGTGGAGGCGTTGGTGTTGTAAGATTGGATGTTTGCACCAGACCACGACGCGTTACCGTCGGTATCGGCGAGGAGGTGCTTGTTTCCTGTTACGATGGAGATCATGACGGCGTAGTTGATGAAGCCGCCGAGGACGGTGCCGTAGATTTGTGTCATGAACATCACGCGGGGCGGGATCTTGAGGTATTCGCCTAGTTTCAGATCCATGCTGAGTTGTACGGCGCTGTTGATGACGTTGTGAGACCACGCGGCGAAGTACATGTTACCAATGGGGCGGCCGGGGAGGATCAGTCCGGCAATGACCTTGGACAGGTTGTTGGTTGCGATACCGTTACCGAAGCGGGCGTAGAGGAGGGTGCTGAAGGGCGAGATGATCGTACCCATCACCAGTGCAATAACGTAGGCCCAAACGGGGAGAGTGACGTTCTCCTTGATGACAACGACGAGACCGAGCACGAAACTGACAACGAGTACGGCAAGGTACCACCACTGCGGTGCGTCCTTATAGTGCTTGGCCATGTGCGCGTGGTGAGGATCGTCGAACTTGCCCTTTTTGGCATCCTTGAATGCCCGGACTGTGTCGCCGCCCCAGAAGAGCACGATGTGGGCAATGAGGGCACCGATCGCAGCATTGGCCATGAACATGGCGTAAGCGAAGGTGCCAGTGATCCTCGGTAGACCGTATTGCAGGAGAGCCTTCTCATCCAGAATGCCATCGATGAAGACGCTCTCGCTTGGGTACTGCTTGCCCTCCTGGGTCAAGAGACGTGTTGACATGAAAGGCAGGTCCTTCGAACCCCAAGCATTGCCGTAGTAAATGCCGAGCATGATGAAAAAGCAGAACACGAATCCGGCAGCTTGATGGAGTTGGAGCTTGAGCGGAAGCGAGGACTGGAAGGAAGTGATCTGTAATATCGATTAGTGTCTGCAGAGTATGAGTGTTTCAGAGCACCTTCTTACGTATTGCCAGTCAAGCGAAATGCTGAACCAACCAAGACCCTCGTTGTTTGAGGCACCACCGAAGAGGTTGGTAAGCGTAGCCGCCGTGTTTCCAGTCGCATGCATGGCAGCCAGACAGGGGATCGAGATAGAGTTCAACCAGGGGAAGATGTATGCAGGGAAGAACTCGTAGACGAACATGCAGGAGAAGGCAATCCAGAACCATCGGAGAGGCTTTGAATCCTTGACGCTCTGCCAGTGGAGACCTTGGAGGACCTTGACTGTAGGAAGACTGCTCCAGTAAACCGAGTCAACATGCCATACGCAGATGGGGCGCATGATACCGCAGATACCGTATCCAAAGAGTCCAATAGAAATGGTGCTGAAGATGACTGTGACAGGGCTCAAAGGCATGTCGTAGAAGAGGTCAGATGCAGCGAAGACCTGACTGGCGGGAGCAGCAATCGATGCGGAAGTCGCGGTGATGGATGTGATGGCATGCTCTTTCAAGTTCCACTCGCCGTGGTTGAAGAAGGACATGATTGTAATCCACATGGGCGCCTTGCCGACTCCGCCCTTCTCCCTCCACCGAGCCTCGAACTTGTCTCCGCGGGGCAGTAGCTTGGCCCATCCCCTGCCGAGGAAGTAGGCCATAAGGACGATGAAGGTTCCTTGGATGGTGACGAGAGTGGGTTTGAACTGGTTTTGTCAGCATTCAACGTACGCAGCCTGTGGTGATGTTGACATACCTGGTAGATCTGGTACACGACGGCTTGGAATCCGGATAGAACGGTGGCCAGAAACAGACACCGGAAAGTTATCGCAGGCACAAAGTCGTCTCGCAGAGGCAGTAGGTAGGCTGCTGCGTCGGCGCCAGTAACGATGACATGGTCCTCATCGTCGCCGTCCTTGTCGTGCCCATCACCGTCGTACTCGGGAAGAGCGGCCTTGATCTCAGGGTCCAAAGGGCCTTTGATGTCGATGTCTCCGTCGTGGGCAGCGTGCTTCTTTTCGCTGAAGTCGTTGATAGCCGCGTGGCTGGGGAGACTGACGACCTTGCCTTCGACGGCGTCGGGTCTTCCCATAACCATCACATCACCAAGAGGAGCTGCCATGGTTGCGCGCGGTCGTGGTTTGGTTCATTGTCCGAGCGGGGAGTACTGTTACTCAAATATACAACTGCTCACGTGTTCTAGTGCAAACGCGTTATCGTGGCCTTCACCTGTGTGATTGCGGCGAGGTTGCGCGCAATAGCACGTCAGATAAGGCCCCTGTTGCAGGAGCGATAGGACTGCCACTCCTAGGTTTGAAAGGGCAGGTGTCCCATGTCAGGAAGCGGCCGAATACAGAAGGGTATCTAAAGATCATGCAAGGCGATGTTGGTGGCACGGCAGGTAACCTAACTGTGCAACCCGTGGGTCCTATCACTTCTTCCCTTCGTATTCTAGAACATCCGGCATATCAGAAACGAAGCCTGCAACCGTATATTGGGCAGGAAACTGCGGGGATAACGAGGTCGTGCCATCCCGTGTCGGAGATGCCGTTCCAAAGGGGATGGCCTGGCACCCTGTTGCAACGGCAGGCTGATAGCGACCGATACCTAGGTAAACAACGGAATGGTGTCGCCACCAGGTTGAATGGCATCATCCGCAGACACGATATCGAATGCGCCCGGAAGAAGCATTCGCCGTGCTTATGACCGCGCAACAAGCCAATCGCGGGCAGACCTGGTGTCGCCGAACAATTGCCTCGCAATTTAGGGAAGTTTCCTCGGCGTTCGTGCGACAGACGATCCTGTCTCGTGCGATTGGGGCGCTGGTTGTTTGGCGTTGTCCTCGAGAATGCGACGATAAGCGTTGCCAAGTGGGGGTGGCGCCCGCTAGGTCGTGCTTGTCCATCACAAGATGAAGCCTTGGTGGATTGAAGCACGCAGATGTGGACGGCGTTCCCGCGAGCAGCGGCGTCGTGGACCAGAATGCGGCAGTCAGGCCCGCAGTGTCGCCGTGGTGCGCGAAGATAAGCTGCCGAGTCCCGGGATTCCGTTAGGCTGGTTTCCGGTCGATGCAACGCCCACCTCTATCATTCTTCCACGAACAATGAGACATCTCAATGGAGCGTAAGAAAAACGAGGTTTGTCATGTAGGAAAGCGCGCAGCAGTGTACTTAAGATGTAGTACTAGGATGGTCTTTAGTGCTGACATCCAGGCAGCCATCTTGGCATTCTTCCACGCTGACTCAGATCTGCAGGCAAGCGCTCTGCATACAAGTCATGCGATATAGCAACGAGCCATCAACATAGCCAGTATAGTCGGGTTCCCAAATGGGGCATGTGCCCAGGAACCTATTTCTCGGAACGTGTGCAGCAAGGTTGTGATTGTCAATTAGCCCCAAGCTCGTCTAGCTCATCAGTCCACCTGGGCACTCTCAAACGCTGAGATCGTTTACCTAGGTAGGTACTCTTCGAAGCATCCATTACGTCTCATCAGAATCAAGGCGCTGTATCCTTCAATCACAATGTCTTCAAGTCGAAATGTATCAGCTTCTACAGCAAGGCTCACAGCCTAGATCAATCTCAAACACGTTCCCAGTACCTTTCGAGGAATGATCGAGGTTCTTGCGTTGCACCACGTACACCAGGAAAATCTTTTTGAGAGTCGCTCCTCTCCACTACCACGGCCTTTAATTATTCTCGCGAAGTATCTGGGAGCTGAGAAACATCTTCGTTGAGATGGGAAGTACACTAGTTTCCATCGATTGTACCCAGCCCTGTCGTTGATTGAACGCTCTATCATTCTTGTCACTTCATCAAGGATATAGCGAGTTATTCGAGAGGCAACTTATTATGCAGGATTCTCTGCTGTTGCTTTCCAGCGCAATCCTGGCGGATGGCGATTCTGGTAGGATATACAAGCACCAAACTATTTCACTCAGCTGTCTCAAATCTTGAAGAACATGTGCGTCATCGGCTAGTAACATCTACACCATTCACTACGTCTCCAGGCAAAACATACATACCCACAATGCTCTAGTCACTTCTCACACCTTCCCCAAAGTCCGAAACTTTCTATCAAAACGCTTTTTACAAAACTCTCCTGCGTAGCCGTTCGTCCGTCCGAGCCTGATCAACTCCAAAACCACCATGTCCACACACGAGCGTTCCATTCCCGGCCTTTCCGCCCTCTCCCCCATCGTAAACCCCGAACAATGCTACAGCGCCCTCTCCTTCTGCCTCCCCACCTCCCTCGCCTTCGCCAAACGCCTAACCTGGGAGCAAACCCCATGGATCCCCCACACATTCAACTACAAATCCGTGAACCCAATCGATGAAGCCGACGCCCATCGCATCGCCACCTACCTGTCCCTCCATGGCCACTCAGTCACGGCTCGAGACGTGCAATGCGCGTTGCTGTTCGGAAGCACAACACCCAGTCAAAACAAGATGACAGAGGGAATAGGATCGTGTCCGCATCTCTTCGTTATCTTCCCTCATGCTACAATGGTACCCTCTATTGATCCAGAATTCCTCAAAGTCTGGCACGACGACATAGTGAAACCGGCGTTTGACACCGCGTGGAAAGACTCCGGTCTCGCACTCGTGTCCGGGGCGTCGCTCGACACACCCACACGCGTTTTACCTCCCACTGGCATCCGTACGTCGCGCGACGCCTTTCCCGCTTCCGGATTCCTTGAGCGCCTACGTCACGCGAAGAGCGGCGCTGTGCGAGACTACTGGCCTAGCTGGAAAGACGACTCGTGGTACCTTGGTCTCGAAGGCAAACACACTGGTAAACGGACTACAATTTACGATGCTGCTTGGGATGCTATAAAGGGCATGTTGAAGGATCATCCGCAGTTATCTTCGTACCAGCATCCTATGTACCAGGAGCCCATCTTACTGGCGGTGTCAAGGGGAGTGGTGCATGTGAACCCGAGGCTGAGCACGAAAGACAAGTACAGGTATGTGGCGCAGGAGTGGGATCGGCTTGTTGATTCGCGGTTCGTGAAACAAGGGAGTTTTCAGGCGGTTTTCGAGACGGTGGTGGGGAATACGCCGGAGCCGGAGGAGTATTCCGAAGGAGAGGAGATGTTGATGGACGAGGAGCTGCTGGATGAGGATGAGGTTAAGAAGATCAGGGAGAAAGAGGAGGTGTTGAAGAGAGAAGAGAAACTGGCAAATGAAAAGATGGAGGCGGATGAGCCGGTCGTGACAGTGGGGCCGGTGGAGACGACTTTGGCTGTGGAAGGAAACAGCGAAGGCATCAAGAGGAAGGAAGACTTCACAATACCTACGAGTGAGGACGAGTATCGCAATAAGCGGAGGAGGAGGGAATAGCTTGGTGATGCATCTTGATCCAAGAAACGCTGGCAGCCGAAGAAATGAACGCGGTCGGTAAAGCAGCGAAAGAGAAACAACGTGTAATGTAGTGTAAAGAGTTCATCAAAGCTATCCAAGCTTACCCTACAACGCCAACCAATGCAATACTCCGGCTACGCACTACTAAAATGCGATAGCGATGAAGAGGTGTTTCCTCACTCATGTCAGATGATACCAGCGATCCTATTTACGCTGTTCATCGATCCTAGCCCTAGCCCCAGCATCATCCTCAGCCTTCTTCTATCTTGGCTTCGGCCGCCGGAAGGGATGTGCCTCAGTGTTGAACACCCAATCATCCAAGCTAATCATATCCGGTGTGCTGAAGATGAGGTAGAAATACTTCAATGTTTCTGCCGTCCAGAAACTCTCCATCTTGTTCTCAATATTGTCGTCGCGGGTGTAGGGCACATCACCCACACCAGGAACGGATTTATAGGCCCGGCCTGGAGCTTTTGGCGCTACGAAAGTGACGTCTCGGACTTGTCCGTTGGCATATGGCGTTCGAGTTGCGGCAACGATGCTGGTGAACATGTCCCACGCGTCATCGAGATACTGCCGGTCACCAGTGATGCGGTACATGATGAAGACGGACTCGATGGCTTCGGGTCTGAGCAGATACCGCTTGTCGCGAATGTTGGTGAAGCCAGGTGGGATCTTGTACTTTTCCACTGCATCGTCGAAAGATTCGACATATTTGCTGCTGTAGTGATACAGCGCACCCTCTTCCCAAGCTGTTTGGTTCCAGGGACAGGTTTTCCGAGAGTCGCAGGCGACCATATCGAATGTCTCGGGCATGATACCAGTTTGCGTGGCGGCGTAGGCGTATATACATCCCTTGGTAAGCTTCGCGCCGAGATCCACGTGGTCAGGATCAGAGAATAGGCGACCTGCCAGACCGAACATGCCGCCAATGAAGCACGTAAGATGTTGCATGGTTGGGTCGAGTTTGGCTTCTTCGCCGTGTGTGAAGACATCGCCGCACAGGAGTAGGTCTTCTCCGTGGAACTTGTCAGGCACCATGGGGCGGAACAGCATGTATGCGTCAATCATCTCCGCAGAGTCGCGGTACAATTTCTCGTACGCAGGTTCCACCCCGCCCAGCAACGCATGCATCTTGGGGAAGTATTCATACGTGCTGTCAGCAAGCGCGCCGATGGAGAAGAAGCGAGATTGATTGAATTCTTCTTTCGCAGCATTCACCATAGTTGGCCATAGGCCAGGAAGCCTTGTGCTATCCTGCGCGCGATCCATCATTATGGTGATTCTCGCAACAGCGTCGTAGTACTTTGGCTCTGATGTAACCTGCGCCAGCCGCGTGAACTCCATGGTTAAGCTGCCGAGACAGGCAAAACAAATGTTGCTCTCGGCGGAGAAGGCCAGCCTGGGTACCTTCTTGACACCCTCCACATTTAGCCAGCCCAGGGGTGTATTATTCGTTGTGTCGAACGCTCGATACAGCATCTCCCCAAGTTGTATCGCCTTCTTAAGCAAGATAGGCTTCCCGCTCATGTCGTATGCGCTCAGCAGGCCGCCGAGGTATCTGATAGTCGTTTCGAAGACGCTCACGGTGGTCAGATTGGTCTTGCCAAAATCTATGGCCGCGACGGCCTCCACGGCCTCTTCAAACTCTTCTTTGAGTCCCATTATCCACAACGTGTCTAACGAATCGACGAGTGTGGCACCCCAGCCGCCGAACGACTCCTCGCCCTCACCAGTAATTGGCTTAAGCTCATCCTGTGCCCACGCAAACTTCTTGTAATAATTCCAGCTATGCCTGAATTCGTCTCGCACGGCGACTCTACGTTGTTCCCTCTGTTTTCTTTGCGCGCTTGTTTCGGGGAAGTCTTCGGACTGGACGCGCGGGAGTTTACGAGGAGCGGTAGTCGGCAGCGGTATATAGGACGTGATCGTGTTCACAAAAGGCGCTTCTCGCCAATCATATGACTGCTCGGATTTGATGCGCGCGAGACTCGATCCATCGTGCATATACGCTTCGTGCTCTTCGAATGCGACAGCGAGCGCATCGGTGGGCTGCGCGTACAGCCAGTAATACCCGCCGAACGCGACGGCCGAAAGAAGCGCATATATAAGGGTGCGCTTATGTTGTCTCGACATTGGCCGCTGGTATGGCACCCCGCGGGGCACTTTAATCCTACGCATTGTGAGATAAACGCGTAGACCTGTAGTCTCTCATCGAATGTACAATGGGAGAAATGATGTCGTGAGAAGTAAGCAGCCAGCACAAAGTGGGTAGCCTGAATGGGAGGTTATGCGATGTATTCGGATTAAGGTATCATGCAATGATGAGGAAAATGATGCCGGGTGTGGTGATGCCACCAAAAAGTGTGTTGTTCATGAAACCGCCATGGTGAAGCCGGCGCAAGGACACCTCTCCAGTGTGGAGGGATGTAACGGAAGTGACCCATCTGCCAAGGCAAGCTCCATTGCCGATCAAACAGAAAGTACAGGTCGAAGCACTTCCGGTAACCGTAGCGCCAGGAGCGACTATAGCACGTGTCGGCGAAATATATGAAGGTGCGTACAAGCGACGGTGTACTCTTCGCCGTGAAGCGCATGTGTTCAGTTGTGGCGGCGCGCTAGAGACGCGTTGGTGCATACGTGTCCGTGCATCTCCTTGCCCTGCTTGCAGAGCTGTCACCATTGCATTCAATCGACCAAGAGTGTAGATTTCCATGTAAATTCAATTTTCTGCATGCTAATAAGGGCGAAAGAGTTGGCTGCTGATGCCGTTGTGGTGACATGGAGGCGCTCTCTCTAGACGGGCTCTGTGAGTCATGAGCTTGTCCCGAAACGGCTCTTGGGCACGTGACGTCAGCAGAGTGCCCAGGTGTCAAGCCAACGACGATGCACTGATGGTAATTCCACTTCGTTGCCGACACCAAATCCTCCACGTTAAGTACCCTGACACCGGACTCTGTGAACTTGAACCACAACATATCTCTCAAATTAATTGGCCACCCTGGAGCATGCCAGTATCTACTCTGGAACCCCGTCTCCTGTACCATCTCAATCTGAGTCTTCAAGATCTTCTCTTGCTCTGCGCTCAGTTGATTGAATCACATCTTACCGATAGCATCTTTGAGACTGACACTGACGTAATACGAGTTCGTATTGTTGAAGGTAGTGTTACCAGCAGAAAAATCGTCGAGCTGAGATCCCCGTCCCGCAGACTTCACCATCCTTCGTGGAGTGAGCGAACGAGACTTTAGCAACTCCAACAACTAAGAAAAGGTGAGCATAAAATCAAGGGATCTCTAAGTATATTTGATCTATCTACCCCTCAAGCACTCCAGATGCTCGGCCAGCTTCAAGAAGTCCCCGCCATCATGATACGCCCTGAGGATCCCTGAGTTACGATCGTGTACTTGGCTGACCATGCGATCAATAGCCTCCGTCGTCTGCTCCTCAAGAGTCTTCTCATCTGCTTCTTTGGCCTCTTGACGAATTTCATGAAGACGTTTGAGCCAATACATCCATCTCCACGGGGTGAAACCAGTCGGTGACCGCTTCCCAAATTCGGATTCAAGGAAGTGTTGCCCACCCTGCCCGATATGACTGGGACAGTCATTCCAGGACAGTTCAGAGAGTTGGGCAAGAACGTGACCAGCCTCTTTGATCCACGCACACACAGACGGCATGAGCTGCGTCAGATCGAGAGTCGAGATCGTCTGGTGTGTGGAAAGTTCGTCTGGTTGACCTCCCTCGATGCTGCTTCTTCCCTCAAACGTAGAGCAGAACAGCAAGAGAGCGATTTGGCAGATTCGATCCTTGCTAACGCGAGTCGACGCCAACTTAGCCAGGAAGGATGCGAGATTGAGTCGCTGGGCGTTCTTCAAGGCCGCGCAGTTCTCGATCCAGAATGCGGTCATGTCAGTGGCTAGAAAGGGTAGATCTAAAGATTGGTGTACAACGTCAGTGTGTGTCTCACATAAAATTTGTACAGGGATATTACTGACCGTTCCACACCGTTCCATCGACTGTTCGCGCGATGTCGATACCGTAGTGCCCAGTAGCGGGCCTGGTCAACGGCCCCAATACCTGGATTCGCACAATGTCGAGGACTAAGCGGTCCTGTTCGCGCGTATCATACGCCGTGTGCACAGCAATTTGGTAATACATGTGCCACGCAGAGTGGATATGGTGCACAAGAGAGTCTATACCATCTCCTAGGCTGCAGTATCGCTCACTGAAACCCCGGTTCGATTATAGAAGGCTGTTCCGCGGAGTCCGTCAAGTTCCCCACGCGCCACGTCTTCGCGAACCATTAGGACGTCATGAGCCACATTGTCTAGGTGGTTGAGTTCGGGAGGGCCCTCCGGCGAGGGGCTCAGAAGAGCATCACGGAGGTGATGCATGTCGAGTTCGCGGTTGTGTTTGTGTCGTTCACTGAATGAGTAGGATACAGAACGAAGGATAATGGAGATAGGAAAGCGCTCTTGGACATGCCTTTGAACCTCGTCTTCTTGTCACAATTCGGGTGCCTAAAAGAAGTCTCCGAAGCTTAAAGATTCTTTCAGCTTCTCATCCCAATGTAACAGCGTCACTGCTCCACTGTGTATTGTTTCCGATACGCTGATCTCTATTGCAGGTGTCTGCCTTGCCTTACCTAAGTACCGTCACGCGCACCGTGGGGGGGTTGATAGGGCTACAATAGGGTGATGAAATGCGATATTTCTGAGATAGCTGTCGCCCCTGATAGCTCCCTAATGTCGTGACGTATGTGAGTGCTGTCAGGGGTGATTGATGTCAAATTTCGAGCCTGTCAAGGATGGTAGTGCCTTCCATCTCAACTGAGGAAGGCAGCAACAGCAGCAGCACCCCCACCACAACGGCAGCATCAAGGACGTCGACGACGACAGAGAAGACGTCAGGAGTAGCTGCAGTCTTATATGTGTCGACGCGCTGCACCTCCTGAGTGTACTTGCAGCCAAATTCGGGGAACATTCACCCATCGAGAACGCCGCGCACGGGCTATCCTTGGCATACCTCACCAGAATCCCCTAGAATTCAATGTAAAAGCAGTCAGGAGTGACCCCTATCCTCTGCAATAGCTGCTGTATAGGTGTCTTCTATGATTGACAGTCGGTTTGACAGGTATCATCCCATGTCACGATGTTGGTGATGATAGCGTCTTGTCAGTCAAACATCAGATGATAGGCCCCTGACAGCACTTCACCGCAATGATATAGTATTATAGCCCTATCGACCCCCCCGTGTTGCGCGCTACGGTAGGGTTTCCAGCGCATGCCGCCCCACATCTGCACTGTGCCGCCGACGGAGAATGGTCTGCGGCCCGCAAGCGCCGCTGTTCTACTATCTTCGCTAGGCTGGTCTCCGTTGCTAGCGTTTGCGCCTTGGTCGTAGAGTAGTATCGGTGTATGCGCAAAGAATGTCTGCACGTTGCTGCCGGCTGAAGTCTGCAATCGGTACGCGGCAAGCGGGTTGCTTGGCATGGGGAAGCAAGGGACACGCGTGTTTAATCGTTTTGAGACGCGCTAGAGACGCGTCATCCCCTCGCCAACTTTGTGACACTTGCACTTTACACCTAAACACTCCCGCGGGTTTACACAGCACGCATAGAGACGTGAACTCTTCGATTACCATTTCTTTATTTGCCAGCTATGGCCCGAAGGACCAAACCGAAGTCTAAGCCAAAGGCGCCCCCTGTTCATACTGCCAATTCCACGCCGGTCCAGCAAGACGATGTCCAGGCCGCGTACCAGACCCTCGTGGAGTAAGACCACCTACGTAAAGGAAACCTCGGAAACTGACATACGCACAGCATTCGCAGCAAACTTCAGGCCCCAAAGAAGCGCACCGCAAAACAGCAAACGAAAATCCTCAAAGAGTGAGTTTCTCTCGTACGAAACAAAACCTGCGTAGACCAATCACTGAGTTCGCTTCAGAGAATGGCCGGCCGCTGTTACGAAATACAGCGAATTATGGAATCTCCAATTCGCCCGTGAGATAGAGACCCGTCTACCGACCGAACTGAGAGCGATGATCTTCGACTATATTTGGGATAACAAAGCATTCAAGTATCATGAAGAGTCGATGCAATACCGTCTCAACCCTGAGTCTTGCCGCAGCGACGTACCAGAGTTACCGCACTTCATTCAAAGCCGCTTCATGGGTTTGAAAATAGCCCACGAAGTTATGGTGAAGTGGTACGAGGTACAACCCGACCGTAGCGATTCTGGCAGCTATCCCGACATTGATGGCTTTGGTCCAGTTGAATATATCACCATAGCATCAACGGAACGAGTCGTCTGTCAAGATATTTGGGATGTTGGACTTATTCCCGCAGATGTTTTGCAGTCACTGTATGTTTGTCTTTGGGAATCCAATACAGACATCGATGCAGAAGGCGAGACGCTTGTCAAGACCCTGATGAGTATCAGGAAGAAGAGGAATTTCAGTCTCCATATCGAATTGGTTCAACAGGAGGTCAGGTTAAACTTGTGGGTCCCGTGGATCGAACTCCTGAGACCTGTTCTCCAGGCATATGAACGCGAAGGAGGGCATTTGCGTTTCAAATGGGGGCATCCGTTTAACAGGTACGACGACATAGAGTTTGACCTCACCGAGGTGCTCAGAGATACGAGTGGAAGTGAACAGTGGAGGCAAGATGCGAGAGAATATCTGGACAGTCTGGATGACTATATCCTCAAGGAATATCACGAGGTAGGTGCTCATTTGACCTCCCGATGATGACCTATAAATGGGTCCTCGAACCATGCGATCAACCCCTGAAAACGCAAGTCGGTAGCTAATGCTTTAACCGGTATCTAGGATCCGTGGATCGCATTTTCGGAACGCCATTACCTTATCGAGAATGAGCCAGATTATGACCCCAAGAATTATGCTCATCCTGCGCTCAACACTCCGCCCGGCTTCTATCCTGAATCATCAGAATATAGCGATAGCGAAGATGATAGCGACGATGGTAGCGAAGATGGTAGCGACGATGGTAGCGAAGATGGTAGCGAAGATGATAGCGAAGATGATGCTAGTCAAGACGATGCTCAAGACGGTTTGGATTGAGACGATTCTTTCCTGTTAAACTTCTCGGACTGGATCCAGATATGCATCGAGGTGGCTATGCATCTTGTTCGTCTAGCCAGGAGCCATGATACAAGATACCCACACTCTGTTGAACGCGTGTGTCGTTGTGCATCTGCACCATGGAAGTATAATAATAATCAGCGTGTTTTCTTTGATGTAGCATCTCACCCCAATGACACAGCCGTTCATTGTTGTAGGGATTGCCTCACAGTCTCACGGAGTCAAGAAGAACATGTGGGTTTGAAATGCTTGCAGCATTCACCGCAACGCATGCGGGGTATTCTAGCAACCGCCCATTCCCATCACCCATCACCCATCACCCATATTCTCATGATCATAACTTCGTAAGCGCCCCACCAGATACGTCTAATCACTCGCCTTGTACTTCTCCCGGTACTCATCCAACCTCTTAAGATCCTCCTCTCCACCCAAGCTCCTCAAATACTCCACAACATCATCCAACGTCAAGATAGCGAGCACAGGAATACCATATTGTTTCCTAACCTCGCCAATCGCACTGGGACCCGGCTTTCCATCATCATCAGTCGCCGTAGGCATCTTCTCCCGCCTATCAAAAGCAACGATGATGCCCACAAGCTCACCCCCCTCCCTCTTAATGATATCAATAGCCTCTCTAATCGCCGTACCAGCCGTAATGACATCATCCACAATAACAATCTTCTTCCCCTTTAGACTCGCGCCCACGATGTTGCCGCCCTCACCATGATCTTTGGCTTCTTTGCGGTTGAAACTGTAGCTCTTCTGGCCGTACTTGGCCATGTCCAGATCTGCGAGCTTGTCGACTGAGGCTGCTGCGAGGGGGATGCCCTTGTAGGCTGGGCCGAAGAGAATGTCCCATTGGAACGAAGGGTCCGAGTCGCCGTGGTTCTTCAGTGTGTGTGCGTAGGCTGAGGAGATGGAGCGGAGCAGGTCGGCGCGGTGGAAGAGGCCGGCATTGAAGAAGTAGGGTGATATGCGCTTGGACTTGAGGGTGAAGGTGCCGAATTTCAATGCGCCGGCTGAGACGCAGTCTTTGAGGAAGTTTTGCTTGTATTCGGGGAGCGCCATTGTCAGATTTGTTGTTGTTTGTCGTTATCCCGAAGTGGGTGAGGCTGTCTGAACTTTTCTTTCCGAATCTCGTTCCTTTCCGAGCTCGGAAGCAGGGAGGCTTCGAGAAGGTGGGCCGTGCGTCGAGACCGTCATTGCCCAAGTTGCTTCGCCAGAACTTTTCGTGAGCATCACGAACGCCGCCCCACGCTATCCCATACCCGCGCATCTACCACCTGCCTCTTTTCTGCTGTTTCTCCTAGCTGCGTCGGTCTGATAGAGGTTTTTCGGGCGTCTGGGGGATTTTGTTCGTGCGGCTGTTGACAATCAGGCGCAACATTTCTTTACGCCGCCATCACAACCTGACATCTTCAACATGACCATGTATGTATAAACTCTAATATCCTGCGTCTTCTCAGTCACATCAATGCTAATCCAATGCTAGCTGGGACTCCATAACCGGACGCAAGTCCAAGGACACGGCACCCGCGCCCGCCTCGCCCCAAAATGCCGACTTCGTAAAAGAAGACACCTTCCAACCCACCCCCTTCGACCCCAACACGGCCATCCAAAACCCCTCAGAATTCCTGCTCGACCCCTCACAACTGCATCCCCTCGCCGGCCTCAACCAAGACACGCTCGACTACCTAAACCTCGAAGACAGCGTCCTCTCGGACCTGCCCGGCGCACAATCCGCTCTGCCCTCACGCGGCTGGTCCGACGACTTATGTTACGGCACGGGCGTGTCGTATCTGACGGCGCTGACGATAGGAGGAGCGTGGGGACTAGCCGAGGGCCTGCAAAAGAACCCACCCAGCATGCCCCCGCGGTTGCGCATCAACGGCGTGCTCAATGCGATAACACGGCGAGGTCCTTTTCTGGGAAACAGCGCGGGCGTGATTGCTATGGTGTATAATGGTATGAACAGCACGATTGGGTACTACCGCGGCAAGCACGATATGAGCAACAGCGTCGTGGCGGGCGCATTGAGCGGCGCGCTGTTCAAGAGCACAAGAGGGACGAGGCAGATGGCTATTAGCTCGGGTATCTGCGCGACTGTAGCGGGAGGATGGGCGGTACGTTCAATCAGTTCTTGGTACTGCTATGACGAAAACTAACAGCCCACCAGATAACACGAAAAGTCTTCTTCGAGCCCGACCTAAAACAAGTCGACTAAAGCAAAGATAAAAGGAATTGCGCACAGCAAATACATACCATTCTACCGCTACCCTGACGAGCCCCAACCGCGAAACCAGGCGCAGCAATCTTTTTCTCACCTTCTTACTGCAGTTCGACGTTTGTCCCGCATTTACACGAAGTCGATCTTAGCGCATGACCCTCCTCCTCACCACTCTGCGGGCCCTGCCCAACTTGTACAATAAAGCTGGCGTTCATGATACCGGGGGGATAAGATCCTTTTTTACGAGGGTCTCTTAGAAAAAGGTCTAGGTGTTGGCTGGGTTGGATTTGGAACAGCGGCCCGACCCTTCTTGTCGGACGATTTGGGCTGTTGTGCTGTGTACGTGTATATGTGTATGTAGAGATGATAGAGATGAAAGTGATGGAATGGGAGAATCAAGTTAATGATATATTTGAACAAATGTGTTGGAAGTGGAAAGGGCCAGTGTACGTGCTTGTTGGTTTGTCTTTACTACCTGCTGATGTAACTTAAACGTGGGCGACATGAGAGACTGAGTTGAAAGCGAACACTCTATCATTGATATTCATGAGAAGTCGCCTCGTCTGACGTATGAAGTCACAAACGATAGCTATCATGTACCATGCATGCAAGACACACGTCTACAGATGTCATAGCCCGTGAAACCACCCTGAACGCCAAATTGCAACGTCATTGAGCCATCACAAATCCTCTCCGCTTAAGCCTTCTTAGCGAACTCGACACGCAGGATAAGATGCCCGAAACCGACTGAATAAAGTTAGCATCTCCCCATATCACAAGCTCCGTGTGCTGAAACTTACATCCATCCATCTTCTCACACGCCTTGGCAGCATCACTCCGATCCGCATAACTAACAAACGCAAAGCCCTTGGCGCGACCCGTCTCCCTGTCCTTGGCCAGGAAAACACGGGTAACATGTCCGTACTTGGAGAACATGTCGCGCAGATCCTGTTCCTCGGCGAACTCAGACACGTTGGTAACACGCAGGGTAGCGCTATCGTCGCGGTCGAATTTGCCGCCCATCTTCTCGCCTGCGCCAGCACGGCCACGCAGATGAGGGGGAACGTAGCCGCCAGAGCCGGTGCCCAGACTGCCTCCTGCACCGCCGGGCGCATCGTCGGGCATTTCTGCGGGGGCGACGTCGCCTTCGGGGGCCATGGTGTCTTTGAAGGGACATTTTGTGGTGAAATGGTCGCCCTGGCAAATACGGCACTTGATCTTTGCGTTCTTGAGTTCGGCCTTCTTCTTCGCTTCGTCGCCCTTATCTTCGTTGCTGGCTTTCCAGTTGGACACGGGGCGGAAGGCGATGTTTTCGGCGACGGAGACGGTGTCTGTTTGGGGGCCGGCGGGCTTGCCCTTTTCTTGTCCGAATTTCGCCCATTGCTTTCGTTCGGCGACGCGGGGGTTTACGATTTGCTTTACGACAGTCTTCTTGATGCGCCGTGTTGTCTTGTATTTCTTGCCGTCTTCGCCGATGCGGTAGGAGATTACGGTTTCGGTTCCGTCTTTGTTCTTGATGACTTGTTGGGGTGGGAGGGAGGTGAGCGAGGACTCCTCGTCTTCTTCTTCTGCCCAGTCGGTGCGGCTATAGCAGTACTGTCAGCCTGATGCTCTAGAACCCGGAGAGATGTATGCAGAAGCTCGTGGCTTGATGTGCGGCTTGGAGCGACGTAGGGGCGACATGGGAGGATGATAGGCGTAGAAAGGCCGAAAAAGGTGCGCATAAACTCACCCTGCTGTTTTGGACATATTTGCGGTTGTGGTTGTGTTGTTGGGGGTGTCGGGTCGGTAGGTAGTCGGGGTCCCTTATGATACAGAAAGTGAGAAGTGGCGGCGGCCGGTGGGGCAATTCAATGTGTGCGGTGCGCCGCCAAGATTTCGCGCTAATACTGTGTTGCGACCCATCACTCCCTTTCCCCAACTTCACCCAACCGTGGTACGCTCAATTCGTCATATTGCATGTGCATAAAATCACGCTTCTTTCACCGATGAATGAAAGCAGGTCTTTCACAGGCTGAAGAGACATCGTCAAGGTATTAGTGCAGCTTCAAGTTCATCGCGCATATCAGGATTCAGTCATGGACAGAGTGACTGTTCATGCTGAGGTGAATTATAGTAGCAGTAGTCACAGTAAGTGATACGAACTCTTTAGTTCTACGGTCTGGATCAAGGCACGCTGGTGAGTCACAGCTAGGACTCGGGCAAGCTGGATCGGTAGAACCACACTCGAACTCAAGATGATAACATTCGCGCAATAATAATAACTCTAACCAACAAGTCCAACCACCCTCCAGCAATTCAAGGGTACGCAGCATCCATCACATCATCTCTCTGACCCTGACCAGCCGATGACTCAAGACCCGACTCTTCTATCCTTCAGAGCCCAGATTCCATTGCACCCTGCCTCTTCCAGGACCCTGGAACTGGCCAATTGGCACCGGCTTAGGCTGCTGAATAATATCGCTGTTAGTCCTGGGGATCGTTTGGACGACTGGCTTGGGAGTGTTGGCCGTGGTGTGAAAGACCGTGTCACTGCTGCCTCTAGGGAGCTTGGGCTTTTGGATGTGGTGAGGCGACCAGGGCGTGTTGAAGTCGTTGACGAAGGGGGTTTGGGAAGGTATTGACTGGGCGGGCGGTGAGAACTGAGGGGACTGCTGCATTATTTGTGGTGAGCCTTGCGCGTAGTCGATGAGGAGGCTGTGTTTTGTGAGTATACCCAGGACAACCATTGTAGAAAGAAAGGGTGATCTTA